TCTCGTACATGGCAAACAAGCCATTATCCTCTGTGTGCAGCAGGGCACTGAAGTCGTGGCTCTGCGGCGGCTCCGTCGAGATCGGGCCCACCGGATGCAGGCGCCTGTCGTCGGTCACCCAAAGCTGGAGCACACTTCGAGTGGCGCCTGTCGCGTTGTCGTAGCTGTGCCACCGCCGGGCAAACAGCACCACCTCCGTCCCGTCGATGGTCGCGGTGATGAAGTCGTCTCCCTCGCCGGGCTCAACGCCGTTGAGGAAGTCGCCCAACAGGTGCGCGTGCGTCCCCGTCATCTCCGTCCACGTCGCCCCCGCGTCAGCCGACCCGTACAGCCGGTAGCGCCGAAGTTCAGTCACGGCGACCATGAGGAGTTTCTCTTTCCACTCGAGGAGCGTCGCGGCGACGCAGCCCTCAGCCATCGGAACGCTCGAAGAGAAACTCCAAGTCCCGCCCCCCGCAGTCTCTCCGTTGCGCTCCGCCAACGAGATGACTGTGCAGACACGCACGCCGCTTTCGGAGCCCACCGCCACCAGGGGGAAGAAAACCTTACTTTTATGCACAACGCCCCGCCCTGCGTTGTCCACGAAGGACCTCCATTTCTTTTTACCCATCTCTGTGGTGAAAGTGTTAGTCAGCGTTGATGATGGTGGCGTTGTGGATGCCGTCCACGATATGGACTTTGATCCACTGGAGTCTGCGACTGTGCCCTCGTGCAGCGCGGCCTCCCAACTTCCCTGTGAGTTTGGTTTCCCTGCCCCTGTGGGTTCCTTGTAGCTCATCAGCAGAAGCAGTATTTTATTGCCCTTCACAACCGCCCTGGGGCCGTAGCGGAAGACAAGAGAGCCGCTCTCCCCGTTGCTGCCGCTAGGCACCGCCTTAGTCCATTGACACCCAGTTCCAGGAGCGGCATCATTAGTAGCCAACGGAGCGCAGCCGCTACTCCCCCCACCCCCGCCGCTGCAGCTGATGCACGTCGCCCAAATCCCAACGTCGGAAATGAGGCCAGGGCCGTAGCGGGCCTTGGCGAGGGCCACCGTCACTCCACCCGCATGCACAAGGGAGTGACCGGCGAAACCGTACACTTTTTTCCCTTCAGTCAGACCGGCCACACCTGCAACCCCACTCGACTGCGGATCTTCCGTTTTTTGAAACAGCACAACTGTCGACGGCGGTTTTTGTGTCGGTTGTGGCTCACTTACCGCAGCAACTGCCGCCGCCTCACAGCTGCCGCAATAAATCAACGCGACGAGAAGCAGCAGCACCGCAGCAGAAAGCAGATGCCGGGGCATGTTACGCCCCTCTCTCTTCCTTCCCTCCTTGCGGTGAATCCGCCCGGGCCAAAACGGCTGTATTCGCGTGTGCGGTGTAAGTGTGTGTGCCCTGACAGCAGCGGCGGCACTTCAGTGTGTATGTGTGTGTGTGTTGTGTTGCTGGCGGCAACTGCAGGGTCCTCAAAGCGCAGAGTAGCGTCTGATGTCTTTCCTTCGGCGTGCGTGTGTGTGTGCGAAGACAAATGTGGAAAGAAAAAGAAACAACGACGACGGCGGCGATGGGTTCGGGCGCGGCAGTGAGGGGCAGCGCAGGCCGCGCATGCGGGGGGCGGTGGGGGCGACGCTCCGGCGCCCGCACGAGAAGCCCACAGCGACGGTTGAGCAGCCGGGAGCCGCGCGTCGGACCGGCGGGGCGTGCCGCGGCCCGCGTCTTCTTCTGCGGGGCGGCGGCCGCGAGCCAACGACGGCAGCCCGGCCGCAGCGGAGTTAGCGGCGAAGGGGGGCAACGCAACAAACAAACGTGCGGGGCAAAAAAAAACAAACACGTGCCCCGAGCGGCCCGCATGCATCCGCCGCCGAGCACCGCAACAAATCGGCAGGGCCCGGGCACGGGCTGCCGCAGCCGCCACAGTCCCCGCAGTCGGCCCAACAGTCAACCCGTCAGCGCGCCGAGCCGCACGAGTTCGCTCCGCGGCAACGCGCGGCAGAGCAGCAGCGTTTGGGACTCCGCATTTTACCCCCCGGCGCCGCCGCAGGCGCCCAAACAAACACGCAGGAGGCGGCAAGCCCCTCCCCGCGCGGCTGGGGCAACGCAAAACATCCACAAGGCGAGCGCAGCCGCAAAAAAAAGAGGCCCCCGCTCGCCCCCAACAACACGCCGCTGCAGTCGCCAAAAAGAAGGCAAACACGCCGGGGCGCACGGCATGCCCGCAGCAGGCGGCACCCAAATACACGCACACACAGAGAAAAGGAAAGGAAAGAGAGAGAGGCACATCACCAGCCACGCCCGCACGCAGCGAAGGAGGCAGGAGGGAAGCAGCACGGCAGCCACACCAGGCACGGCGCGGCGGTCCTGCCCGCGGTGAGTCGCACGATCGCCGTGCAGAAACAAAGTGAGCAAAAAGAGACTTACGGAAGAGCAAAAACAATTAAAACAGAAAACGAT